TCAAAACTTAATTTGAGCTGAGTCAGACAAAGAAAAAATAGAAAACCACTGCATGTGTCGACAGCATTTAATGGATCAGAAATGTAAAAAGCAAATACTTTATGGTAATACAGTCCTCTAGTGGTTTACAGGTGGCAGTAAAGACATTCTGTAATCTGTGTCCTACAGAAAACTATTAGACCAGCACTGGCTGTCAGAGGACTTCATAAGTCTGCACTGGATGGTAAGCTCTACACTTTTTATGCACTTGGTTTTTCTATTAGAAAGCAGAAAAATAAACATTTCCCTGTTTGTACTCTTGACCTCTTTCATTCTTTTTCCTCATTGCATGTGTTACACCTTTGTCCCTGCAGTTTTGAAGCAGCCGGCCCCAGACAGCACAGTTACAGCCAGCTTTGGGAAGTTCATCAGCGAGATAAAGCCCCAGCACTTGCCCTCTGTTGTGCTCCACCGCAGTAAAAGGATGGTGCTGGACAGCATTGGAGTGGGTCTGATTGGCAGCACGACAGACGTGTTTGAACTTGCCCTGCAGCACTGCCAGGTGAGACAGAGGGGAAAGACTAAATGGAGAAAAAAATGAATTAGATTTTATCTGGCACAAAGTCAAATCTAAGAAAAAGACTGACCGGATAAAAACAATGGTCCTAAGTCAGTAAAAATGCTGAGGGTTTACAGATGAACTGAACAAGAAAAAACAGGTTATTTTTGTGAATGTAATCATATTACTTGAGAACAGACATGTTTTTACGTCTGATGACCTTTTTCCACAGATTTTCCTCACTGACTTACAAAAAAGCTATTTAATGTTCATGTGTACGTGTGTGTTTGATGACTGCCCTTAAGATGACTCTCTGTTTACCTGTCTCTCTCTCTCTTCCCCTCAGCACATGTATGCTCCTGATGACATCAGCTCGGTGTACGGACGCAGGGGCATCCGGCTCTCCCCGACACTGGCAGCCTTTGTCAATGGAGTGGCAGTGAGTATAAAGAGGTGGAACAGGTGTCGCCTTTGTCCACAGTACTCCAGACAATTCCAGATGCCCTACATCTGGGCGTCTACAACTAGTCTCCAGTTAGTTTACACTCATTTTTAATAAGTCTGGGCAGTCGACCACAGCTGGACTGAGTAAAATACTGAACTGATTTCAGAAAATTCCAGCATTATTTCCGCAAACCCTGTTTGGTCTCTGTCTCTAAAAAACCATTAGGATACTAAGCCCATATCTACGTAGTTGGAGCCTGTTATGGCGATTATAAATTTTCCAATTAAAATACACTGACCACAGAAAGCAGTTAAAGAGGGAGTGTTCATAGTGTAAGGAGTGTTGAGAGCTAAACAGTGTCATTTATATGCAGTGTTTATAGCTAGCTTTTGTGTTATTTCAAGCACAA